ATTTTGAAGTTTATTTTGGTATATTTTAATATATACTTGGATTGTTAATTAAATGATTATATGGATGAATGTGATGTATTAAGTGAAAAGCGGGTAATTTAAAATTATTAGAATACAAAGAAAAAATGAAGTAAGAAAAAATTACACTTTTGGGAATGTTACCAAAACCAGTGTTACAAAACACAATAAATAGCATTTTGGTAAACGTCACTAAAAGTCATAGTTTTGCCGATGTTTATAAAGGTCGTTAAAAGTCGCAGTTTTTTCGATGTTGATAAACGTCGCTAGTAGTCGCAGTTTTGTTGTCTTCCTATATTTAAAATGCCATTAACCTTGGTGTAATGGTAAAATCATGGTGTAACACATAAACTCTTGAAAGAAGATTTGTTTGTCATGAAAAAGCCCGTAGTATAAGTCATGGGTACAATAAGTCTTGAAAGAAATTGTTGGTTGATGTTTCCCTTGTGTAGAGTCATGGGTCGGAAAAAACTCCCGTTGCACATGAGATCTCCATTCCCATGATGTAGCTCCATCATCAATCCGGTACAATAAGTCAAATTTAACATTTTGTTTATACTTGCTAAAAAATTAATGGTATATTTCTACCCCTTTTAGCAAAAAAATAAATTTTTTTTGTCTTTTGTAGGATATTGGACAGATACCTCGTAGAAGGTCTTCTCATGCAAATGCAACGAGTTGGGAGAGTGAGAATGCCAATGCAAAGGGCAACGAGTTGTAGGATATTGGACAGTTTTACTTACGTTCAAAAACATCGCTAATTAAAAGATTATTTGGTTGAAATTTATTTTGTTATATTTTAATATATACTTAAATTGTTAATTAAAAGATTATATGGTTAAATACGATGAATTAAGTGTAAAGTAGATAATTTAGAATCATTAGAATACCAAGAAAAAAAAAACAAAATAGAAAATAATACACTTTTGGCGACGTTTGTTAAACATCACCGAAACCAGTGTTACAAAACAAAAAAAAATAGCCTTTTGGTGACATTAAACTATTTGCCAATGTTTATAAACGTCGCTAAAAGTGACAGTTTTACTGCTACATGTCACAATTTTTAATTATAAATTTGAATTTTATATTTTTTATATTTTAAAATATAATTAGATTATTAATTAAATGATTATATGGATGAATGTGATGAATTAAGTGTAATGCAAGTATTATAAAATCATTAGGATACCAAGAAAAAACAAAATAGGAAAAAATTACAATTTTGGGAACGTCACCAAAACATAACAAAAAAAAGTTTTGCTGACATTTATAGAAGTCACTATAAGTCACAGTTTTGCTGACATTTATAAACTTCACTATAAGTCACAGTTTTGTTGACGTTTATAAACATCGCTAAAAGTAGCAGTTTTGTTGTCTTCTAAAATTTATAATGCCATGAACCTTGTTGTAATAGTAAAATCTTGTCCTAACACACATAAACTCTTGAAAGACGATTTATTTGTCATGAAAAATTTGGCATACGTACTTGACTAGTATTCATTATAGAATTTTCTAAATTATGAAATATTTTTATAGCTATATTTTCTTTTAAAATAAACTTCCTGGAAATACAAGAATGTTGGAAGGAAATTGTTGGTTGATGTTTCCCTTGTGCAGAGTCATGGGTCAGAAAAAAACTCTCGTTCTGCTTAGAGATCTCCATTCCCATGATGCAGCTCCATCATCTAACCCGGTACAATAGGTCAAATTTAACTTTTTGTTTATACTTGCTAAAATTTAATGTTATATTTCTATATCTTTTGCCAAAAAAAATAAAATTATTTTGTCTTTTGAAGGATATTGAATAGATACCTTGCATAAGGTCTTCTCCCATGCAAAGGGCAAATCCCTTTGTTTCAGATGTTATATTTTTATTCTCATTTCATATGTTTTTTTGTATAAACATAAATGTTCCATTGCAAATACATTTTTTAAAAATTATAATGTTGAATTTTATTTTGTTATATTTTAATATATATACTTAAATTGTTAATTTAATGATTATATGGATGAATGTGATGAGTTAAGTGTAAAATCAGTAATTTAAAATCATTGGGAGACCAAGAAAAAAAATAAATACACTTTTGGGGACATTTGTTAAACGTCACTGAAACCGGTATAACAAAACAAAAGAAAAGCCTTTTAGTGAAGTTTATAAACGTTACTAAGAGTCACAATTTTGCTAATGTTCATAAATATCGCTAAATGTCATAGTTTTACAAACGTTTATAAACATCACTACAAGTCGCAGTTTCGTTGACGTTTATAAACGTCACTCAAAGTTGTAGTTTTGTTGGCTTCTTATATTTGTAATGCCATGAACCTTGGTGTAATGGTAAAATCTTGGCCTAACACACATAAACTATTGAAAGAGGATTTGTTTGTCATGAAAAATTTGGCATACGTACTTACCATGGGATCTCCATTCCCATGATGTAGCACCATCATCAAATCCGGTACAATAAGTCAAATTTAACTTTTTGTTTATTCTTGCTAAAAAATTATGTTAAGACTTCTATATCTTCTGGCGAAAAAAATAACATTATATTGTCTTTTGTGGGATATTGAACAGATAATTGGCATAGGGTCTTCTCATGCACATGCAATGAGTAGTGATAGGGAGAATTCTAATGCAAAGGTTAAATCCCTTCATTTCAGATGATATATTTTTATTCTTTTTTCAGTTATTTTTTGTATAAACATAAATGTTTCATTGCAAAAACATTTTTTGTAAATTATAAATTTGAAGTTTATTTTGTTATCTTTTAATATATACTTAAATTGTTAATTAAATGATTATATGGATAAATGTGATGAAATTAAGCGTAAAATAGGTAATTTAAAATCATCGGGATATGAAGAAAAAACAAAACAGAAAAATACACTTTTGGGGGCTTTTGTTAAACATCACCAAAACCAGTGTTACAAAATAAAAAAAAAATGCCTTTTGGTGACATTTATAAACATCAATAAAAGTGACCATTTTATTGACGTTTATAAACGTCGTGACAAGTCATTGTTTTTACTTAGAATTTTGAAGTTTATTTTGATATTTGATGATTTGATAATTTTGATATTTGATGAATTTGATAATTTGATTTTGATATTTGATATTTGATGATTTTGATATTCGATGAATTGATATTTGATTATTTGATGATTTGATAATTTTGGTATTTGATGAATTTGATGATTTGATTTTGATATTTGATATTTGATGATTTTGATTTTGATTTGATATTTGATGAATTTGATGACTTTAATATTTGATTATTTGATAAATTTGATTTTTGATTATTTGATGATTTGATACTTTTGATATCTGATGAATTTGATAATTTGACTTTGATATTTGATATTTGATGATTTGATTTCCATTTGATATTTGATGAATTTGATGATTTGATATTTGATGATTTGATCTTGATTATTTGATACTTTTGATATTTGATGAATTTGATGACTTTGATATTTGATGATTTGATTTTGATATTTGACGAATTTGATATTTGATATTTGATGAATTTGATGACTTTGATATTTGAAGAATTTGATGACTTTGATATTTGATGATTTGATTTTGATATTTGATATTTTGATGAATTTGATAAATTTGATCTTTGATGATGGTATTTGATTTTTTTCATTTTTCATTTTATTTATTATTATTATCTCTTTCTTTTAGAAGAATGTTGTGGGTGCATAACCTTAGAAGAGGAGTGAGGTCAAGGTTAACTCTGTCTAGTCGTGAGCCCTTATGTAACCTTGGTCTAACTTTAGTTCCACTGCAAATTTCGGAATTAGGAGGTGTATCAAACATTGAAGTAAGGTCTTTTAGAGAACTAAAGAAGGAGAAGACTTTGCACTCATACGAATAGAGGAGATAACATACTAAAGATAGGATTCCCCGGCCTACTAATAAGTTGAACCCCCTTTTTGTACTTTTTCCTTTTTTTCTTTTTTTTCTTTTATTTACCCTTTTTTGCTCTCAGTGCCCTAATCATGGTTTTCATCGAGCCTGGGTGTCACCTAATTGTTGTGCAGTGGAGCCATTACTGGTTTTCATCTGGGCCGGCGATATTTGATCTTGCCATAACCTAATGCTTTTACTCAGAGCGCCTTTTCAGGTTTTCACTCTGCCTTTTTAGGCCATGCATTTATTTTTTATTTCTCTCCATTCACTCCTCCCATCATTGCCACAAGGGGATGGGGAGACACTTTCTTTGTCATCTGATTCCATGTTCCTGTTTTTTTCTTTGATTAGGGAGGTCTTAGTACTAGGACGAAATGTGGCTAAGGCTCAAGGGTAGGTGGGCTACTTGGTTCATGGGTTATCAGGGAGCTGAAATTCTTAAAACCTCCTTGAATTTTCCATCTTCTTCCTTTTTCTTTCTCTCTCTCTCTTTTTTTATCTTTTCCTTCATCATTATTATTTTTTTTCTTTTTTCTTCTTTTCTTCTTCCTCCCCTTTTTTTCTCTTCCTTGCTTCTTCCTTTAATTCCTCCTTCTCTTTTTCATTTATTTTGCATTACCTTCGAGGATTGCTAGTATCCAAATATTGGGACATTCAAGGAAAAGGTCACAAAGCTCAATTGTCTAACTAGTGAGTTATTATAATTGTACTAGACAAAAGGAAAGGTAACAGAAAATGGCCGAAAATGGCCTCCCTTCATTTCATTGATAAAAATTGATACATGGAATCGTTACAATTTAAGCATAGTACTTTTTCACTTGATCTAAGTTGGCTGGTTCTGGGAGGTCTTCATCATCCATTTTGTCGATTATTAGTGCTCATCCAGATAACCTCTTTTTAACAATGTAAGGGCCTTCATAGGTGGGAGTGAACTTGCCCCTTGTCTCCGACTGATTCAGAATAGTTCTTCTGAGCACTAATTCACCCGACTGTACATTTTGGGGTCGTACCCTCTTGATGAATGCACATGTCATTCGCCTTTGATAGGCTTGAGTATGGGCCATAACTCTTAGTGTGCTTCATCTAAGAACTCCAACTGCTCATAACATTCTTGGACCCAATTTGTCTCTGGGATCTCTAACTCTAATATGACACATAAAGATGGCACTTCAACTTCTGTTGGTAGGACTGCCTCCATGCCATACACTAAAGAATATGGTGTTGCCCTAGTTGATGTCTTAACTAACGTGCAGTAAGCCAAGAGAGCATATGGTAGCATGTCGTTCCAAGACTTGTAGATAAGAGACATCTTCTTCAGATTTTTTTCGATGTTCTTGATTGCAGTCTCTACTACTCCATTCATTTGAGGTCGATAAGGGGATGAACACAACTATTTAATCTTGAAATGATTAAAAAGGGTAGTGACTTCCCTTCCAACAAAATTTTTTCCATTATTTGAGATTATCTCGCATGGTGCTCCGTATCTGGCAATGATGTTGCTCTGGATGAATTGAAATATCTTGGTCATTGTTGGATGGGCTATGGACATTGCTTCTACCCACTTGGTGAAATAATCAATGGCAACCAAGATGAACTTATGCCCATTTGTTGCAGGTTGTAATGGACCGACCATGTCAATTCCCCATACTGAGAAAGGCCAAGGTGTAGTGAAATAATGTAGCTCTGAGGGAGATGCATTTATCTTTCGATCAAAAACTTGACAAGCATGACATTTTTGCACATGTCGACAACAATCCTCATCCATTGTTGTCCAATAAAATCCCATTCGAAGAAACATTTTGGTCAACATATGTCCATTCATGTGAGGGCCACATATGCCACCATGTACCTTCTCCATCTTTCTTTGTGCTTCTTCTTCATCCAAACATTTCAACCAAGGTAATCCTAGGGACTTTGATACAAATATCCCCCC